TTATTGACAGAGAGAGAGCACGAGGAGGGGAGGGGCAGAGAGAGAGAGACGGAGACACAGAATCCTAAGCAGACTCCAGGCTCTGAGCTGTCAGCACAGAGCCGGTCGTGGTGCTTGAACCCAGGGTTGGGAGATCATGACCTGAACTGAAGTTGGGCTTAACCGACTGAGCCAACCAAGGTGCCCCAAAGTTCAAATATAATCTTAATACACTTGGCAAGAATGTGGGCAAGTAGGTACATTCAAGCTTTTTGTGTGTAACGCTGTAGACTGGTACAGCTTATTGGAAGGGAAATTTTGCACATCCTATCAAAAATGTCAAATGCGTATACCTTTGACTAAGCAATTCCACCTTTAAGAATTGTCCTACTGGGGGCTCAGTCGGTTGAGCATCCATCTCTTGGACTCTTAAATCAAGAGATCGAGCCAGAGTCAGATTCTGCTTGGGATTCTCTCCTCTCTTTCTGCCCCTCGCCTGCTTGTGCACGCTGTCTCTTTCAAAATAAATAAACTTAAAAAAAAATTCCTACTGAAAGACTTGCATGTGTGCACAAAAACATGTACAAAGTCCTTGTTCAGACCTTATTTAAAGAAATATCTATATTATCTATCATCCATGATGTACAACCATACCATAGAATACTGCGCAGCAGCTGAAATGAACGTACTGATGAGGAAGGATTTCTAAAAATTGTATTACAAAAGTAAAAACCAGGGGTGCCTGGGTGCCTCAGTTGCTGGCTCAGTGGAAGTCGTCTGACTTCTGCTCACATCATGATCTCACAGTTCGTGGGTTCAAATCCAGCTTCAGGCTCTGTGCTGACAGCTCAGAGCCTGGAGCCTGCTTCAGATTCTGTGTTTCCCTCACTCTCTCTGCCCCTCCCTGGCTCATTCTCTCTCCCCCCCACCCCCTCTCTCTCTGAATCCAAAGCAGGCTCCAGGCTCTGAGCTGTCAGTACAGAGCCCGACCTGGGGCTCAAACCCACGAGCTATGAGATCATGACCTGAGCCGAAGTCAGACACCCAACCGACTGAGCCACCCAGGCGCCCCTAATTCTGGAAACTTTTTAATGCAATTTACATAATTAATCCATAGAGGTTTTGATCCATATTCATTTAAACCATTAACCCATAAATTTTGAAAAGTTTAAGGGGGGAGGGGGTGTATTGGTAGGAAGATAGCCAAATATGAAAACCACCATTCTAAACCATTCTACCCACTTTTCTAGTCATTTGT